ATAATAATAAAATGTAAGTACTGAAATGCCTAAAACGAATATAAGAACCAAATGAGAATATTTACCAACAAAATAAACGACAAATCATAACACAAATGACTAAATATTAAACTATAAAAAATGAGATCATATATGATTAAATAAGACACAATTAAGCTTAATTGCAGGATAAAAGCGTTTAAAATAAAACACATGTAAAATCAAGCATTAGAATCAATAAAAATAAAAAACTTAATTAATATGTTAAAAGAAAAATTTAAATCAACGTAAAATAAAAGAGACAAAATTACCTCTACCTAAATTATTTACAGGGCACTATTAAAACAAACTAATTAACGCTCCATTCACACATGGCGTCAGAATGAGTGACGTCAGGCATTGCCGAACTGCATTGTGGATCAGTCCGCGCTGCTTCAGAGGTGTTGCTCGCTGCAGAAGTTGGGACTAGCTCAACTTTTCAAGCGCCGACGGAAGCGTCAGCCAATCAGATCGCTGTATGCAAATACACCAGCTAGACAGTGGCCTATTGCTGACTGAATTTCATTGGCTGACGCTGCTATGACGATCGCTTCAGCCCCAACTTCAGACACGCCTTCAGTCAAGCGTTGACGCTGAAGCCACGTGTAAATGGAGCGTAAGACTGAACGTTTGCACCTCGACACAGTTTTTTTTAGTCTGAATTAGAATTATTTAGATCTGAAGAATATATTTCACCCGTTTATTTTATTATCATTATATTAATTATTTAAAAACACAGATAATAAAAACAGCATTTATTCTAGTGAAATGTTGTATTGTGAGAAATATCATCACAATAAGCATCAACAATATCGCATGTTTATCCCTAATTTTAACAAAACATTGACTAACCCAGGAGCACTCCTCAAACTAGTGTTTTGTCTGCAGCTGTGGGTCTGTTTCATTCATCTTCTCTAGTAAATGTAAGTACTATATGGTGTGTGGTTCTGGTGTACTGACCCGATCATCTCCGCGTGTGGACTCGGCGTCCAGCAGTGGTTCTCCAGGAGCCTGGATGGTCACAGATTTGTCTCCTCTGCTGCTGCTGTCTCTGCTTTTAGAGCGATGTCTGTCTCTCCTGTCCCTATAACAACCACAACACACATGCACCCACGCACACACACACACACACGACAGCACAAACTGAGCTTCAGCAGCCAAAGAAAAACACAGCAGATACACTCTAACACAGGGGTGCCCAAACTTTTTCTTATGAAGGGCCAAAAACCAAACAACCATACCGAATTGTGAGTAATTTCCTAAATTTATAACTGGTGCAGTGTATCTGAATAAAAGTGTAATGCATTTATTACAGTAAAAACAAAAACAACGCCATTAATGACACCATGGAGTGAATACACCAAGCTGCCACCTGCCTTTGACTTGATTGGCTCGCTGATGTCTTGTGTATAGAGTATATGGCGAGCTAGTGTGTTTCCCATACTGATAAACTTCCGGTGAGCTGTTATTGTGAACTTTTTTCCATTTTATACGGTACTTATACAGCATCGATGTTGTAATATCATTAAAATACATTCAGTTAAACAAACTTTGGCATTTATTTAGTTGCTCAAGCGTAAAACGAAACAAAAAGCCGTTTACTCGCACGTGCCCGACAGAATCGGCAGGCTAGCGCAGACGCTCCCACTGAATATACTGGGGTAAAATAAATGCTCATATTATAAACACATGGCAGGGGAAATGTAATTTAATGCAGTGCTTCTTGTACAATATGGAACCAACTTTATATCGGATATCACTCAGCTAGTGGAGATCGCTGATTTTTAAAGAAAACAGACCTTAAACGCACCAGTTTTTGCATTGGCATTCAATTCGCCGGAAGCGCTTAACCCAGGTTACTGGCAAATTAAAAGTCCTATTAGCATGCTTCAGCATATTTCCCATTGTCCTCTACCAGTTGTGTGACAGTATTTACATTTTTAAAAATCAGATTCATTTACAAAACAAACAAACAAAAGCTTACATTAACTTCAAAAAGGCTAACTTTGTCAAATATATTCACTCTGAGTCCAACCACCTCCCAATCACTCTCTCTCCTCTCAAATGGGATGGTGGGGCAAATCAAAAGTTAGAATGGGCCAACTTTGGCCCGTGGACCCTAGTTTGGGCATCTCAGCTCTAAAACATGCTGGGTTCTCAACAGTGTAGGGCATGTTACTTTAAAAGTGATCAGCTAGTTTACTTCTCACAAATAATAACTGAGTGAGTAACTGAATTACTCTGTTAGAATAGTAACTATTTACCAGGGAAAGTAACGATTGTGTTACTTAATATGAAAAAAAAATGTCTTACTAAATGTATGTTGAATAAAATGGACACTAAACTTAATACATTTGCATTATTATAAAATACTCTACACCAGTGTTTCTCAACTGGTGGGTCGCGAACCAAAAGTGGATCGCGGGAACATTTTCAGTGGGTGTGTGAGAGTGTGTGATAAAAATAAAACCCAAAAGTTACATTTTTTACCTATTTTACTTATGCCGGACTTTTATTTTGAAATGCGTGCACGACAACCCTACCGTTTGACATGTGAAATTTCATTTAATTATTGCAACTAATATGTCAAAGTGCAAGTACGACCACGAATATGTAAAGTATGGATGTATACATTGATGACAAAAAAAGTCTTAAAGCCTCAGTGTCATATGTGGTGAGGTGCTCTCCTAAGAGAGCATGAAACCTTCTAAATTAAGACAACATTTAGAAACCAGAAAACAAAACAGTTTATTATTAACAGTATTTGTTGTTTTTACTTTGTAATATTTCTATAATTTGATACATTTAGTTAAATGTCAGCAATAAAACAGTGTTTAATTGCAAGTCTTGGTGATTTTCTTATGATGTATCTGTCACTTCTTGTTTATGTTAACAAATAAATAAATTAAGTATAATTCCTAAAATAATATTAAAGTTCCTAAAAATTTCGGTCGCGGCTTTAAGACCATGTAAAAATGTTTGTCCCATGGCCAAACCAGTTGAGAACCCCTGTTCTACGCTATATTAATGTTGCTTATTAAAACCCATTGTTGGGTCAAATATGGACAAACCCAACAATTCAATTAAAGGTGCGGTATGTAGCCTAGTGGTTGAACACGGTATTGCAGTTCATAATCAAAATTTTGGAGAGGGTTTTTTCCCCACGAGACCTCTCCTATAATGATGACTATGCACAAGCAGGTTGCCAGATTGACACAAACATAAATCGCAATTTTACCTGAAGAAGATTGAGCTTTAAGGCCCGTGCACACGGAGACGTTTTTTGCCCGTGTTTTCCGTCGACGTTTAACACCTCGTAACTAAATAAAGGGCATCAATGTGATCGTGCACACCAACGTGCAAAACGCCAGGCGCAAAAGCATCATTTAAAAAAAAAAACGCCTCATGCTCGTTTTTTTGTTTTGTTTTGACGTGCGGCGTCAAAACCTTCTCCACCAATCAGATCGGCACTTTTGTTCACGTGCACGGAGCTGCTGAAGTTACCGTAAACAGCACTTGGAGGCGCTCACGCGCAAATCTGCCAATGCGAGCGCACATTGAAGAAGATGCCCAGAGGCGATATAAACACTTAGCCGCTTATTGCTCTGTGAACACTAATCATTTCTTCATCGCTAGAGCTGGAGCTGCTGCTTGAACCATCCATGCTTGTTCAAATCACCAGTAACTTTATAAACAAATGTGTGAACTTCCGCTCCTCCTCTTCTTCGGTGTTATAAGTGGATGTCAGAAGCTTAAAGTTGCGTAGCGCCATCTAACGTCAAAAGAGTGATTTTGCATACTCTTCTGCTTGACGCCAGTGAAAAGCGCTTGGGTTTAAACACTGAAAAACATCTCGTAAAACGCTGCCGATAAACGCAAACTAAAAACGTCCCGGTGTGTAGAAGCCTTACACTGTGAAATGCTCAGCTGATGTTTACGTTTGTAGTTTTGATTTTTAATTTTAAACAACTTAAATTTGTTGCAAAAAAAAAAAAAAAACTCAAGTGGATTTTTATAACTGTAAATCTGTGTCTTATTTTGTAGACTGCTACAGTCGCATTTTCAGCCACAGCCACAAAATTAAATATTGATGGAAATTAAATGCACAGTTTATTTCCACTAAAGGCTGATCGAGGTCTCCGTCAAGTGACGAAGCCCGCCTTGCGCGTAGTCATGCATTTATGCTTCTGCTTGCTGTTTGTGTTGCTCTGCAATAACACGTCTGAAACACTAGCTGGCAGTGGGCGTTTATGTTCCTCTGTGTCAAGTTTCTTCACTGGTGTTTTTTTTTTGAATGCTACCTTACAAATAGCTAAAACTCTCTCATTTAGAGGCAGGAACCGGCTGACGTGCAACAACTTTAATCATAAGGTGAACACATAACTAAAGTTTTCATTAGAGCTCCAACACTCAGTACAAAGCTGACCAATCATAAAGCTTTGCGATACACGTTGCAGCGACAAGCGGTTACATTTTTTGAGAGGGGTGCGTCAGCATCAACAACAACTACGGCGAGTGGCATGTAACCATGCGTAGGCTGGGTCAGAGCACACATCTGTGCTTGACGCAGAAGTATAAATCAGCTTTACAGTCGTATATGTGTCCCACACTGCTAAAAACACTATTAGGACACCTATATTTCACTAAAAAGTGTAAATTGGTTGTTTTGCGTTATTTCAAGCAAATTCGTACTTCCGGTTTGAAACGAATTTTTGAAGCTGCGTCACGGTCATGACATAATAGCGTGTATTCCAGCGTGCAGACTGGGCGTCTGTGCCAGGGTGTGCCTTTTTATTATGTCTTACAGTGTGATGCATTAATGCATGAGTAAAGCTTGGTTCAAACCAATCAGCGCGCTCTATTGTGCAACTTCATTAATATTCATTACTGTCACAGTGTTTAGACGACAGAGACGCCACGTTGTGTTGGCAAAACAAGCGTGAAGTGTTGCTTTTAAAGTTTGCTGCAGTTAAGTTTTGTTTTCATTTTCTCTCTGTGAGAGCTCAGCTGGAGTCACGTGTGGATTAACAGTGTACGCGACGCTCGACAACAATAACTTACGTGTCTAAGGAGGATTATTGTTTACCTGAGAGCTGTTCTCATCTGCAAATGCTGAGATCCGGATTCGCTTGTAGTCTTCTCTTCATAAAGTCGCGGCTCTAGATTTGGTAAGAGAGCGACCAGTGCTCTTTGTTTATTCAGTTTGTTTGTATCGAACTAAGTTAACTATTGCACCGAGTGTAAACATGTTAGCACCACAACCAAACTTTAACCTCGTGTAGGATTTTTACCGCATTTTGTGACCGGAATAACACACGTGGCTTTCTGACACTACCTGCCGTGTGCATCTAAGTTTCCGGGAAATGCGGAGGGTTTTTTTCTCTCATTCGCCGTGCGGTATCAAACATTGCATGAAAAATACACGCTTAGAGCAGTTCCTCGAATCAAATATCTCGTTTGTCGCGAGGGGCATGAATGAATTCCCTGAATGAAAGAGCCAAACTGCAGTTAAAGTCCACCATTTAATAATCTGGCAAATAATTTGACTACAGATGTCCACGTAACTTAGGTTAAACACCATCACTTTCTACCGTGTGTGTGTATTTTGATTCTGAAACTCGCGCGTGCCCAAATAGACACTCCCACACCCTCCCACTTTAGTTCCTCCGACCCTCCCCCCTAAACAGAGCTGGACACGCCCACTTTTCTGACTTTTTCCAAAGTAGAGGTGTGAAAACACCCTGCTGAAACGAGGGGGTTTCATGGCCCTTTAAGGCAACCCGGGGTGATGAAATCAAGTTGGGTGAACTGGCAGTGGGCTGGTTATAGAGTCCAAAGCAAAGACAGACATTCTGACAGGGACGCACGTGTTCAAAGCAGAATAACAGTTCATATCAAATAATGTTCACTTTGGACGTTTCTGAAATATCTGCGTATTAGTGTATTTTTATGCTTTAGAAGATTTAAAAATGTACACACAGCACCTTTACATAAAAAAATTACACTAACACAACAGTTGAGTTTGACCCCAACACTGGGTCAACATGCCAGCATTTCAGAGTGTAACACTGAGAAGCCTGCGGTGTGTGAGAAACAGATGAATGCTCTTATTCATTACACTGATCACAAGACAATAATCATGTTATAAAGACATCTGATCAAATCAATGACGTGAACACAATGAAAAATATTACACTCATAAAGAAAGTTATGAATAAAGATAATATAGATATCTATATAAGAAATATAAGTAGGGCCAAACAGAATCGGCAGACATGTTTTGCTATGTCTGAGAATTTTTTTTAATAATAGTATACATTTTTTATAATAATAATAATAATAATAATAATAATAAAAATAATAATCATTCTAACAATAATAATAATAATAATAACAATAACAATCATAATCATAATAATAATAATCATTATAACAATAATAATAATAATAATAATAATAACAACAATCATAATAATAATAATTATTATAATAATAATAATAATAATAATAATAATAATAATAATAATAAACTATAAAAAAAACAGTTGGAACAATATTGACAAGAACACTACAATATAACACCTATATAATCTCTTTCAGTAGATTTAATAATTAATAAAATAATTTTTGCCTAAGAGAAGCATTAGTAAATCTTAATATAAAATAATAATAATACAACATAATATCATTTCAAGAAAAAAGGGGTGCGTGTGGGACAACTAGTATGCTCTGAACTTCTGAGAATCGACCCAGAATTGTTGGCAAAGATTTGTGATGTATTGATGTGTTTCTCTCACCCCTATAGAATAGCATTACTGCATTTCTGTCTGAAAGTAGAGAACACAATAAATCACAGCACATCACAAGCCATTAAACACACACCTGTGAATGCTTTCACTCCTGAACTGATGATCACACGGGCTGAAAATGTGCTTGCGGTGTACATCTACAGCAGACCCAGTTTAACTCGTTTGTTTTACTGCGCTCCAGTTTTAATAAGCGCTGATAGTTAAATCAGGTGGTGGATTTAAAGCAGTACTTTCTGTTTTTCATTGCTACTTATTTACAACTTAATTTGTATTTAAAAGAACTTCTGAGTTTAAAACTCAACTCTTTTTTTTGCATGAAATAATAGTTATTTGATAATATTAAAAAATGATTCTGATACAAATAAATAAAATAATATTATTATTTATATTAATATTAATAATAATAATAAATAACAAAAATAGATAATGATGATGATAATAATAATAATAAATAATAATAAATAACAACAATAATAATAATGATGATAATAATAAACAAAAATAAATATAATAATAATAATAATAAATAACAATAAATAATAATAATAATAATAAATAATAATAATAATAAATAACAATAATAATAATAATAATAATAATAAATAATAATACTAATAATAATACTATTAATACTACTACTAATAATAATAATAAAAAAAACTCAACTCTTTTTTTGCATGAAATAATAGTTTTGATATTATTTAAAAATGATTCTGATACAAATAAAAATAAAAGAATAATATTATTATTTATATTAATATTAATAATAATAATAAACAACAATAATAAATAATAATAATAGTAATAACAATAATAAATAATAAAAATAATAATAATAATAATAAATACCAATAATAAATAATAATAATAACAATAAATAACTAATAATTATACTAATACTAATAATACTAATACTACTACTACTACTAATAATAATAATAATAAAACGAGTACTTTTTGATGCATAAAGTGCATCCTTAATTTTCACGCCGAGCATTTAATTTGGTGCATCCCATATCATATCATATATAACATCATCGTTTTTTTAATGCCATGGTAGCAACAACAGCTATTTTCATGGCAAAAACAATTAATTGAAAACAGAGATATAATTAAAGCCTCCAAACAAATAAATAAATTAACATACGATAAAGATTCTGCTAGTTTTTTCAGATAACACTTTGCTAAATGCCTCTGAGTAAGTTGATTTCATAAAAGAGCCTTCTGCAGTCATTAACCCTTATGTACGGTTCAAATTAACTTCTACGTATTATGATCACGTTTTGATTGCAAAGCCATGACAGCTTATAATCATGCATTCTTGAAAGTTGTTGGTTTTCCCTGTTGGGAGGAGGTTAAAGGGGTCATTTTACTGCTGATCATCAGTTAGCTGCATTAACTCTTTAGATCAGCCTGTGCAGAAACATTTCTGGCTTTTATATGGTGTTCAGTGGAGTAAAACAGCAGATTATGGTGTGTGTATGTGCGTGTGTGTGCAGAAATACACATACTATGTTTACTATGTTCTGAGAGCTGAGGGGCTTATTTTGATTTTCACAGACATATCAAGGTAGATATGCAAAGGTCTCTCTTACTCTCACACACATACACACACACACACTATACTCCGTATAAAAACCAAAACTTCAGCTTTTTTTTTTTTTGCACTGTAACTGACGATCAACTGTAAAAAAAAAAAAAAAATTATAAATAGTCCCTTTTTTTTAACAGGAAAAACCAACAACAATCAATAATGCATGATTTTACACTCAACGGCCACTTTATTAGGTACACCTTACTAGTACCGGGTTGGACCCCCTTTTGCCTACAGAACTGCCTTAATCCTTCGTGGCAGAGATTCAATAAGGTACTGGAAATATTCCCTCAGAGAGTTTGTTTCATATTGACATGATAGCATGATAGCATATTGACAGAATTTCGCCGGAAGTAGTAAGTCATCCGGGTACTTTTCGCATACTGAATTTCGAATTCTATGTATTCGGACATACTACTCGGCTCGCATACTGATTTTGGCGTACTATATAGTATGGAAGTATGCGGTTTCGGATGCAGCCTTTGTAATCAAAATGCGATTAAAAGGAAAGTCAATAGGGCAGAAACAGCCACCAACATAACAGAAGGAACTTCAATTTGCTCAGTGTATTGTTAAGTTTATGAAGAATCCCATTCCCAAAATATGTGCCAAAATAAGATTTGTTAGCAAAAATCATCCCATTTGTTAAAACACAGAGAACGCTGTGGCCAAATTAAGCCTCGAAGTCACCCCAGAAGTGGATGAAAACAACTCAACAGCACACAAGAGTTAAAAGAGGGATGATTTTTAGATGTTGAGCAAATCTATTAGGATTAAATGCGTACCTGTGTTTGCGAGAGCTGCGTGAGTGTGAAGACTTGTATGAATAGCCCGAGTACTGCGACTCGTTATCCATGTCGGGGGCCAGTGGGCGGGGTTTGTGGCCCCCAGCTCCGCCCCTGGAGCGCTCTGTGACTCCGCCCAGCTGAGTCTTACGCTCTGAGAGGGATTTAGAGGACAGAGTCAGCGGCAACTTCAGCAGTTCCACCTTACTCCTGAGAGAATCTATCTTGGAGCCTGACGGACTGGAGAGCGCGGACCTGCAGGAGACACAAACAACACAGGTCAACACTGGAGACATCATTAGCTGTGTTTCCATACAAGGATGTGCATTAGATGCGAGTGAAACTGGAGTATTGCATAAATAATTTGCAAATAAAGCAGCATTTCCATCTAATGAGAAACAAGAGAATAAAGTCATCAGTGACTGATGAACTGGAGCAGATCTCAGTCAGAGAAGTGGAGTTTGATGCATTGGGATTTGCCCCTTTGGTGTTTTTCTTCTTCAATAAATGGGTTGCACCTCAGAAGACGAAAATGAAGATTCAGGGTGCTTTCACACCTACACTTTTGTTTCGGAACGTATCTCGTTTGCCCAATTAGCGGAGTTCGTTTGGCATATGTGAACTGGGCAAACCGCGCCAAAGTAATCGCTTGAATGAGGTGGTCTCGGCTCGATTGAAACGAACCCTAGAGCGGTTCGATTGCAGTGAGAAAGCGATCCGATCCGAGCACGGTTATATCACAGTGTTTTATGGATATGTAATAGGCATTCGGTTATATGAAGAGAGAATTATGAGTAGGGCGGGAAGTTTCGCGAGTCTCCGGATGCCCGCAAACGAGTGATGATCTCCCGGTAATCTCGCGTCTCCCTCCGGGTCCTTAAATAGGCATCATCGCGCACCCTTCTCACCCCTCCCCACGCATCTCTCCTCAGACATGTCGCGCGCGCACCCTGTCAATCACCACCAAACCACCACCTCTTCTGATAGCTTAAGCCTGATTTATGCTTCTGCGTCAAGTGACCGTCGTAACCCACGGCGCAGGCAACGCGCGTGGCTGTGCATTTATACTTCTGCGCGGTGTCTCTGTTGGTCTGCATTAACACTTCCGAAACGCTAGTTGGCAGTGAGATGTTAATGTTCCTCTGTGGCGAGTTTCTTCGCTGCTGTTTTGCTTTTCCTGAACACTTCCTGGATGTACAAGTGGCTCAAACTCGCTCATTTTGAGGCAGGAACCGGCGGACGTGCAACAACTTTAACTATGAGGTAAATACAAAACAAAACTTTCCATCTGGAGCTCCTTAACGGGACTCCACACTTGTAAACAATCGCTCGCGCCATTCGCGCGGCTCTCGGTCCAGCCCCGACTCGTCAGCGCTACCAAGCCGACCAATCACAGAGCTTGCGCTACGCGTTGTTGCCACGTGTAGTTACAATTTTTAAGAGGTGCACGTCAGTGACGGCGACGGCCACGGCGAAGGGCTATGCGTCAGCGCCGTAGCATACGCTGGTGTTTGACGCAGAAGTATAAATCAGCCTTTAGCGGGACGCTGCAAAATAATCCCTGACTAATGTGAGGAGAGTTTACTCACACGTGACTTGTTTTAGCTCTTTTGGTACGATTAGAAACTTTGCCGTGTGAAAGCGAACCGCTCCAAGAGCAAAGAGCAATAATGTAACAATTGTAATCTCTGTTTCAGAACAACTGAATCGATTCACAGGTGTGAAAGCACCCTTAAATGCAATGAATGCGGTGGCATTTGGAGGCATGACATACTTTCTGGGAGCGCAGACTGATGCTCAAGACAGTTCTGGAGGGAATAATAATAGAAGAATATTAATACTGAAGCACTGTGATAATGGACTGTCAACTGAGGCCTTTTGCAATCAAAAAAACAACATTTCAGATCTGCAACAATGGAAAGCTGAGAACTCCATTAAAAAAATATGAAGTGACAAAATATGAAGTTCTGAGTGCCATTGCAGTCTTACCTACTGTAACAAATTAGTCATTCATGATATGCCGATACAAAAAAAATAAAAATTGCAATACAATACGATTTTGCATTTTTTAGTACCAGAAGAAGAGCAGAATCTACCCTGTGCACCGTAGTTGTTTACAAGGCCGTCTAAGGCCCCGTTTACAGTAATGCGTTTTAGTTTGAAAACACATAAGTTTTGCTACGGTTACGTCATCTGTCCACAGTATTCTGGAGTTTGAGTGCCGAAAACGGAGCGTTTTGGAAACGCTGGAGAGGCCGTTTTCATTCTGAAGCACTGCTGCTCCGTCTCAGTGTGGATGGGGAAAACGGAGACATCTGAAAACGGAGGCGGGGCTGCTGAGATTCGCTACCTGATTGGGGCTTTTGTGTCATTGTGTATCCTTCCCTTATTCGTCAAGCGGCTATCACATGACTATAACACATGGCTTTAACGCTACCGGAAGACAGCAGACCAGCCTTCACTGTAAACAACAACATGGGCACAGAAATGGGAGCGTTGTTTGCACTATTGTCTGTTTTAGACGCCATTGTGCAGTTATTCATTCATTACGTTTAGTAACAACTCGTCCTCGTCGTCTGTCCACAAAATACCTCTCTTGCTTTCTTTGCCATCGCGTTCATTGTTCAACCGGCGTTTGTTGACTAACAATAACCAAATGCCGAGCAAGACGCATGCTTTCTGTTTAAACTAGAACGCGCATGCCCAGAGTGCACGAATGGTCACGAGATATACGTTTTTGGTGGCGTAGTGTGGACGGAGATTTGTTCAGAAACGCTAGTTGAAACGCTAGAGTGAACGCAGATCATTTGTGATCTAAAATGCCATTTAAAAACTAAAATGCACTAGTGTAAACGGGGCCTTAAGCACGAGCGGTTTCACTTTTTTTGCTAGCAGGCGTTTGTAGCTCCACCTCTTTGCCCTTGTTTGGTATCCCTCCGATGATGCGCAAACAAAATGGCGACGATTAGCCATGCCTACTGGTCATAGATATATACATTAGATGTCTCCTACCCTGTTGTTGTCTATTAGAAGGAATGCGTCAATAAAGCCGCCATTTTAGTACAAGGTAGCGCTCCTTTGAAATTAATACGGGACCAAGCTGCAGTGGAGGACTGGCCATCCAGAGCCAGAGATATACAAATATACAAATATATCTATGATCAGGAGTTTTCCCGGAGGTCAGTATGCAAATTTTTTTTTTTAATTACGAAACTTATATATTTACCTCACTTTTCTATATTGATGGATGAGTGATCGCACAGGCGTTCCTGACAAAAAGCTTGTGTTTGTGTG